CCGGGGAATCTGCTTGTGCTTTGTCACTTCGAATGTGCCACGTTCGATGTGGGCTGGTCGATTCTTGAGTAATTTTTCTTCATTTCACCTCTTTTTTCTTTTCGCCAACAACGGACACTAGTAACCCCAACCGATCTGTTTCCACCGTTGCGACCGTGTAGAACCCCATAATCAGCACCTGCACTGCCAACGCCACCGAAGTGTAAAATCGGTCTGTAACCACAAGTCTCATAGCTCAAGATCCTGAGCCATTGACACAAACACCTCGCCGAAGTTGCGGATGACTGCTGCTGGGCCCGACTTGTAGTCTGTCAGCGCTTCATTGGCACCTAAGTAAACTTTGAACCTTCCATACATGTTCGTAGTTCTGTCGGTATGTCCGGTGCATGTTAAGACAACTTAGACACAAAAAAGCACGAGTGCTCCTGATGGAACACTCGTCACTTACCGACTGCAGTAGGCTTTGGTGGAGTAGCACATCATAAATAGCTTCGTGCCCCACTTGTGAGATTTATTCTTCATAAAGCCTCACATTCGGTTGAAGCTTGATCTGGATGGCAGCATAGCCTCGTCAAAAGACATGGTAGGAGAAAGAAGGTAGCCGTGCTGGAATCGCCGTGTCGAAACATCACAAACGGGCCGGATCTTCCAAGCTTTATCCATTTGAGCGCACTCATCACTATTGGAGCTGAAGTGCAGGTTGTACGATATATGCATCAACCGATCCCGCACCATGAACAGCCCGAAACAGCACCGTGGGACCTTCGTCCGCCGTTTTCCAGCGATGTTCGAGCTTTTCTTTGTTTGGGGGGAATCGTGCGAGCCGCCAGCAGCCCCATAAATACGCACAGGTCACATCCGCAGTCCTCTCTAGTTCCAGTCGAATTTACCCACGCTCCTTGGGCCAAAACGTTGAGGGTTTCAACGCCCGTGCCACTTGCTTGTTGTATTGGCCTTCCTATCTTTCTTGAATCTTCTCCGCGAAATAGGCATTGCTTGCTTTGGCAATATCGTCCCAAAGCGTAGGTTGGGCAAAAAACCAAGTATGCGCCTAACGTTGTGCCTACGGCCCGCAAGGCTCCCTCCGTAGGTCCATACGGTCCGTCATACAAGTGTGGGTAGTCGTCTGGCATTGCAGAAGCAGGCCGAGGTTCATAAGGCTCTATTAAATACTCATAGGGCGTCTGTTTCTCTAACGGATGCCAACCAGTCTTTGCCATGCCCCTGCAGAGATCGTTCGACATGTTACCCGATGCCAGTTGTTCAACTCCTCCCGCTAAATCCAACAGCGAATCATCAAAGAGTAGGTCTGGTTGAGGTGGCCCGTCTTCATCGAGGCCGTCATCCAAGTCATAGTCATCCGACAGTTCGTGGTCATTCCATGCAGTCCCCTCGTCGTCTTCCGCGTCAGAATCAAGCGCAGCGTGATCCACAGATCCACTTGAATCGTCGACAACACTGCAAGGTTCTAAAACACAAATCAAACAGTTTGTACAACTTAGTCCAGCTCCATTATCTTGTATATACGAGCTCTTACGAACCTTCATTGAGACACAGACTGTCTTCTTTTGTTTCTTCATCCAGTATGGCATCTTGCTGGCGTTCGCTCTGCTGCCTCTCAATGTTGGTTTGGGTATCATCGGCGCCGAGTTTGAGGTGATGAAGCTACAAAATTCAAGCAGCAGTACACGTTATTGAGTTGATCATCAATTGCAGAAGATTGCATAAAGGTTCATACCATATGAGCTAGCTTCATCCTCGTCTTCAGCCACTTTCAAAGGTTGTGTCGTGTGGCGACACGCCCTGAATTATGCTGG